TTAATTGAAAAGGATCGTCGTATTAGACGTAAGCGAGGTGTTAGCTTCGATAGTATTAAATGGGCACAAACCGGATTCGTTTTGTTAAAGTCATTTAGTGAAAGGAAGGTCTTTGATAAATAATGCTGCAAAGAGCAGTGTTTTCAAAGTAGTGATGCCGAAAGACGTGTTTCAAAAGTAATCCGTGCTTCTGCAAGTAATACATGGTGGTGAAAGATATGAATTCAAAAATAATTTACACAAGAATAGTTTCAAAAGTCAGTTGTCTTCTAGGTTACATGTTTTCAAAGGTAATTTGAGTGAAACAAACATGTTTTCGTAAGTAATAAGCGGTAAAAAGATATGAATTCAAAAGTAATTGGCACAAGCTACACATATCTAATTTTGAACCCGAAAACGCGCCATAGTGTACATGGTGGAGTTGAAGCTGTTTCTTGTGCTCCGTGTCTCCCCTCCCCCTCCCCCCCTCTCCCTTCCCCGGCTTTCTTCATAAAACGCACTTTGAAACAGCTCTAATATAATCATGAAATGAAAACCAAGAGCTTGCTACCCTAGGAAAACGAAAACCATTAAAAAAATCAGTCATTGATACACGAAACACGATTCCATTCCATAGTAAAACGAGACTTTATTGTAATGCGAAATGGCCGCTTGTACGAGAACGCATTAAACCTTCACAAAAGCTAGTTTTGCAAAACCGTTTTTGACATCTTTAAATCTTCTTTGAGCATTCAAGAAATGGCGTTTTAGTGTAACTTGGCTTTAACAAGCCGAAAAATATCCACTCAAAATGACCACGACTTATCAAGATACCACAATTTATGATGCCAAAAATACTGTTGAAATATCAAGTAATGCAATAATCTTTACTTGGAGGAAGATAGCTTGTAAGGTAATAGGTCGGTTCCTGTTATTCTAAAGCAGGTAAACATTAACAAGAAACGTAATGACGATCATACCCAAATTATTTACAAGAACGAAGAGTTTTTCTTTTAATTAGACATTTTTCTCCTATCAAAAGAAAGAATAAACCGATCCGTCCATAATACTGCGTGTTATCCAGTTTTTTTATTTACAAAATTGTAAACTGGCTTTGAGCCTGAAAAATTAATTAAATAACCCCTTACTTTTTTGTTTATTTTAGAGTGTCAGTTTGGTGTGATTTTGGTCTTCGTTACATTCATAATTACCAGTGCGATATTTCAGCTGTTTCACTTTTCCACGCCTCAGTCCAACCAGGCTCAGTATCCAACATTTATGATAAAACGAAAAGCCAGCGAAAAAAATCTTATTCATTCGTAATAAAAGTTAAAGCGTTTGTATGTGAGAGAACTGTCTCACAGGAAATTTGACTGGAGATTAGAAAACATTGAGTTTGATGGCATATGAGCTTCCAAAATCTTTGTGTTCAAATTGCCTCAGACTTGAAACACCTGTACGTAGACTGGATTAGTGGCCGAGAACACTGTGGTATCGAGCGTTACAAAGTTAGACGCCGATGAAACAAGATCCATTAATTCATCCTGTTGGGACTCTAGCAAATGTAAAGTGGTTGAGGATTTTTCTCGATGACTGTAAGTTTTGGGAAATAGGCGGCCTATCTACCAGTCTTTAGATATCAGATTTTGATTACTAAGGTATTTAAGAAAGGAAGGATTTATTGCTCGTAGAACTGATAGCATTTACGAGTAGGGAGGAGGAAACGCAAAGCACAAAATCTTGAAAGAAGATATTTTAAAGACAAGATATTTTGCGGATTTATCAAAGCGCCGTTTGCAAGAGGTAAGATCAATTAAGTTAAAACAAAGCTCTTTAACGACAACATTGTTAGGCTAAGTATTTTACAGTGAACTATTTTTACAAGCAACAAGATTCTTCTTGGACACAAATACACTTTAAATCAAAAAACTCTTGAGAGATTGTGGTTAATTGGCCCTCCGCCATGATCGAAATTTCTTTTTGGAAGAAGGAAAATATGACGATCAACCCACAAGAAGGGAAAATGAGCTATGCAAAACTTGCACGAATTGTGGGACTTCACTAGCTTAGTGAATGTAATGATAAAAGGGTAAATTATACACCGTGAAAAGATGAAAAAACTTACTGACGTTTCAGACGCTAGTCCTTCGTCGGAGTAAAAGCTAACTAACTTAATAATTGATTTATTAACAGAAATAAGTTGTACTCATTTATTCATTAAGAAATCACTCCTCAGGCACTGTATAGTAGGTATCAGCGCCATTTAACTGACAAGCAGTACGTCAAGTCTAATAACATACAATGTACATCTATTGTAAAGCTAGATGAGTCAGCTTTCATTTCTTTTTTTCCAGTAAGATAGCTGATGTGCACGCAAGCAGTTATTCTATTCAACCAAAAAATACTGAGGGACATTGACCAGGTAAGCGGATCAAATAGTCTCATATTGATTCAACTCTACCAAGAAGGGTTTTTCATTTCTGTTTCACGCTATTCTTTTTGAAGAAGAGTATGAGTATTTTTTTACTAGTGTCAAAGAAAATCGAGAAACGATTTTTTTATTACTTTCACTATTTGTTTTTTTTTTTGTGCGTGCCAGAATATGAAGGGTTTTTATTAGTGAAGTGACCTAGATGTCAAACACTGTCTCAAATCGTTTTTCTATATTCCATCCTTATTCAAAACAGAGCCAATTAAAGAAACAACTTTTGACTAAAGAGTCAGCATCTTAACTTAATATTTGGTTTACCAAGGTAAAAGCAAAAAAAAAAAAAAAGAAAAGATAAAGATGCGCTAGTTTGATTCAAGACTGTCAGCAAGATGACCAACACAAGCCATAGAAACGAAACAGAAGATTGTATTACAAGGAGTTCCTCACTGGTGTCCTGCTCTCCGGCGTGTTTCTTCCCATCTGTCCCAGGATACAGCCTGGTGACCGTTACTGGCATTCTAGCAGTAGCTGGTACACTGGCAAATACACTCGTGTGTGTGACTATCTTGAGAAACCCAAGCTTAAGGAAGAGGAAAAACTACCTGATATTAAACCTTGCTTTTGGAGATTTGGTGCTGACGGCATTTGGCATGCCGATCTATGCAGTCTATACACTGGGGGAGATGGAAAGGTCTTGCGTCATTATCATATCGAGGCTCAAAGGCTTCAACCTCAATATTTCAATAGTCGTATCTTTGCTGACACTTTGTGCTATAAGCATTGAGCGGCTTGTTGTTATAGTATGGCCACTTAAATACAGGAATATCATAACTAAGCAACGACTCTGCGTTACCATAGCACTATCTTGGATCATATCGAGTATTTATGGTATCATTATAGCTACAGACGTCCATACTCATTCAAATCTCGTATACAAGGTATTCACTTTAGTATCGTTTACCGGTATGGCACTCTGCTACATCATTATTGCCCTGTGCTATGTGATTATCCTTATCAAATCAATCAGAATGACGTACGATAGGCGGAACCTCGCACCCAGTCATCAAGATAACACAGACAGACGCGTGGCCTTGACTGTAGCACTCATTATCGGTCTTTTCACAATCACTTGGATTCCCTTTGTTTTTTTTCGCTTTTTCGCAGGAAATCATGACAAACTTTGGTTCAAAGTGTCTGAACTTCTTGCCCTTTCAAGCTCAGCTTTTAACTCAATAATATATTTCTATCGAGCCAAAGAGTACAGAGCTGCACTCAAGCATCTGGTTCGGAGATCACCTGAAGTCCATTCCGTTTCGCGAGAGAATTATCGAAGGACAGTAGAAAAATTAGAACTTACGAACAGACCAATTTAGCCCAGGCAAGAGGAACATAACTAGAAGCATATGTGGTAATGTTTGCAGTACATTTAACTCACCTCTGGTAAAACAAAGGAAAGGCATGGATCTTTGAAGGCGGCTTCTTCTGAGAATTCACCGACACCAATCAACTTGAGCAGATCACGCCTTTTCAACAAAACCATTAAATAGCCGTTAAAATCAATAACATAAGAAAAACTGTATTACCAATTATCATATTACCAATACCGAATTACAAATTATTTCTATACGTGATGACTTGGTGCATCATGTTTTAACATTTTAACATTGGTTTGGAATGATTTGCAAAAAATGCTTACCTTAGTTTATTGACTTGATGTAGTGTATTGGGATCTAATGATAGTACCTACATTATAAAAAA